CCTTTTGCTACAGTTGATTCCTACCCAACTGTCTTTATCTCTTTTGCCACCCTCTTAAAAACAGATTTATTTTACATCAAATGCATGAACTTACTATTTTATTTGCTATTCTCATTTTCTTTCCTTTTTGTTCGTGATTCTGACTTTTAAAAATTATGTCCTGTATGACTTTTTAATACCTCTCTGCATTTAATATATACATGCAAATCTCCTTTATTAACTTGTATATAGGCATGCTCCTATATACAAGTTTATAGGGATAAAGGGATCTATGTATAAATGTCAATTCAATATAAAGCAATTTCTCCATTTTACTGACTTTTTAAAAAAAATTAAGAGGACCATTTTCCCTACCTATCCACCTTACCACTGTCAAAAGCAAAAAGAAAACCCAGAAATTGTTCTCCACTAAAATAAGTATAGCCTGAAGAGGCTTTTTCAAACAAGCGACATGTTCTTACTAGCAGAAACAAGATTAAATTGGCAGGTTGGAGTGTGAGGACAGGTGCGGTTCCTGTGGCTGGAGCTGGTTGGGGACAGGAAAGATTGTGCCAAGCAGGCAGAGGGCAGCTTAAAGTCTGCAAGGGAGACAGCTGCCTGGATGGTCACAGGAACCAAAAGAGAAGCATTAGAGAGGTGGCTTATGAAACTCACTACTGCATTTGGCTTGTGAAATGAGAGCTACCAGTGATATCTAGTAAAATATACACTTACATTTAAATTTGTTAGTGTAAAAGAGAGCAGCATTTTCCAAATGAATTTTATTATTTTTATGTTTTTGTTCAGTTAGTTAACTTCTGCTACACAGATAAAATGTCAGGTTTTTACCTCTCTTCTCCTAAGACATCAGATGGTATGATAGTTCTGCCTCCAGCATAGGAATCCTGAGGTCCCCAAACAAGGAATTTCCCCTGAGGGGTAGCCACTTACAGTAGGCTCTCAGAACATTGTTCAGGGGAGAGTAGTTAGGTAATTGTTTCCCCAGGGCCAGGAAACAAAGTGCTAAGCATTCTATGCATATAGCTATTTTGCAAAGCACCTGACCATTTACCCGGTGCTTCCTCTCCAGTAGAAAAGAATAGTGGCTGCATAGAAAACTCACCCTGGGTTCATTTCAGGGCCTAGTAAAGCTGAGTCAAAGGCTAGTGTCAAGAATCTCTAAAATAGGAGCTGAAGGTTATCAAGAGCTATTGCCACACACTGCAATTGCTGTGCTTTCAGTACAGGCCAGCAGTTTTGAGAAAGACCTTTAGAAATCTTCCTGCAAGAGAGATTTTCCTCTACTCAAAGTCTACATCAGTCAGGAGTATCCTGCTTTCAGAAAATGCCCCAAGTCAATGTACCTAAGACATTCTGATAGTGATGGTCCAGTTTCAGCAAGCTGCACCTCATGCTGGAAAATGCCTCGCCAGCTAGGTATGCTAGGGTGGCCACAGACACCATTGAGGGAAATCCAAAATCTCTTTATTGCTGAGGGGACTCTGTCATCCCTGGGTCAGAAGGAAAAAAATGACCACTAGGCCTGATGCACCAGAGTGAAAGAAAATATACCACAGCTGGGAAAACTGGAAATCCATATGCAACAAAATGAAACCGAATCCCTTTCTCTCGCCAAGCACAAAAGTTAACTCAAAATGGATCAAGGAGCTTGATATCAAATCAGAGAC